TTCTAATATGGGAAGAGGATACCTGTATCCCATCAGAACTTTATCATCATTAAGGGTCATAGAAGAAGTCTAATTAGACAGAAGGCCTGGGAGTAGTTCTATCAAATTTTGATGATCTTAAAAGAAGAATGCATAGGGAGGGGAAGAGGAATACATTTGTGGGGGGAGGGAGAGAAGGGGTGGGGAAAATTGTCACATATAATAAAGGTATAGAAATAGAAGTCTCTGCAAGCAAGGAGGAAAGGGTTAGGAGAAGTGGGAAACAATTGAATGTTACTCTCATTTGAACTTGTTGAAGGATGGAAGAATATACAGTTGGGTACAGAAATACATCTCATTCAAATATATTCTTCTTGGGCTACCTAATATACAGTACATCCCTGGTTAAGTAATGATCATATTTAAATCTTAAGTGCTGGTTCAGAAATCCAAATCCTATTCTCTGATTTTAAATCCCATTCTCTGATTCTTCTTCACTAAATCAATCACTTTGCACATCTACTATTCTCTTCTGAATCTTCTATTTTAATTTAGTGACATTGAGGAACATACCACCCTTTCCCGTATAAGGTCTTTGGTGTTCTGCTCAGGAGTTTGTAATCCTTAGTGATATTTTTTTAGGTTCTTTCTGATGGAAGGAGGGGTTTTCCATGTAAGTTTTACTCAATGTAGTAATGGAGGGGGCAAGTTTGACAAGTTTCAGGATACTTTTGTGTCATCCCCAAAAAATGCTCCAGGGAGACAGATCCCACCCTACACTATGAAATATTCCTGATCAGACTCCAAATACTTACCCCTTTAGGTCCTGTTGCAGACTGACATTTTAATATTTGCAAACATGTCACAGAATAAAAAAGACTTGAATATACCTGCTTTACAGAGTAAGCACTTAAATGCTTTTCATTCATTCCTTCAATCAAACATATAATTAATATCTCTCAACCTTTCCTCAATTCATTTATTTTTTTCACATTTTTACATTTTCCTTTTTACGTAAAACTTTCTGTGTGTTTTGCTTTGACATGACAACCACAGGTTACTTTCTTCATTGTTTTCATTTTTACATATTAAAAACAATCTATATTTTGTTTGCTACATTTACAGATTACTTGCTTAGTGAGAGGTCTCTTGTAACACATGTAAAATGTAAATTTTAAGTAAAACTTAAGTAAAACATCAAAGTAAAATGAATAATGCAGTGATTTCATCCAAAGTTTATGAAGCATTTCACATCTGTAGCATCCCCTACCTCTCTATCTTGTTTTATTTTATTTTATTTTTTGGTAAGGCAATTGGGATTAAGTGACTTGCCCGGAGTCACATAGCTGTCTGAGGTAGGATTTGAACTCAGGTCCTACCCACTGTGCCACCTAGCTGCCCCCCACCTCTCTATTTTAAAAAAAATTAACAGAAACCTACCTTTTTGTCCTCTCACTCTCCACCCTACAAAAAAGAAAGCAAATTTTTTGTAACAAATATGTTGCAACAACAACAACAAAAACCAATTCTCTCAGTGGCTATGTCCAAATACATGAGCGTGTACACACATACACACACAGATACATATCTATCTAAATTTTGTCATTTTTACATCATTTTTTAGTCATGACAGCCTCTCTGTGACTCCATTTGGGGTTTTCTTGGCATGTTGGAGTGGCCATAGAAATCATTCCTTCTTTCCTTCTCCAGCTCATTTTTTATGGATGAGGAACTGAGGCAAACAGAGTTAAATGAGTTGCTGAGGGTCACACAGCTGATAAGTATCTGAGGCCAGATTTGAAGTAATGAAGACGAGTCTTCCTGACTCCAGGCCCAGCACCTATCCACTGCACCACCTAGCTGCCCTATATATATATATAAAATTCTACACCTTAAATGCCTAGGTGCCAAGCATCCCAGTCTGCTTGTGCTGCCCCATACACTAGTCCGCATGAGAGAAAGAAAGAAGTGGGAAATAAGAAAAAAGGGGAAGACGAAGTTTTGTATGATAATTTAGCAATCTATTTATATCTTTCCACTTATTTTTGTAACACCTATCAGGTGGTACTTTCAAAGTCTGCTTTAGTCTATTTTTATGTAGATAGCAAAGATAAATAGATTTTGACTGTTGTAATAAAAAATTATGTGAACACAGCAGTCAACTCAGTTTCACTGATTTTATTTCTTCCACAATATGCATCTCTGCCTTGATCTGCATGAGGGCTTGCTTCTCGGACAGCAAATTAATGCTTGGATGCTATAATTAGATAACAAAGGCTGATGTCATCCACATACAATCTGTTTCAACTTATCGAACTAAACTACCTTTTTATTTTTGAAGTCCAATACCTCTGTCTTCTGACCTCTATTCAGAGCCATAGTGAATAGATAAAAATTAAGGTCAAATTTTAATTGACTGAGGCAGATTATCTCATTTGCAGAAGGACTTTTCTCTGTTTCTTCCAGTCTCTGTTATTTGTCCTTCTATGGTGACACCACAAAATGGAAGAAGAAAAAAACTGACTGTATAGCAGAGTAGATCCGACAGCCTCTTGTTGGTTGAGTTTGGCCAGGTTATGAGAAAGTAAAGGCTGGGCCACCATTTTTGTTTGGTTTTGTGCTACACTTATCCAAAGTGTCCACAGTCTTTGGAGATGGTTGAAGGTAACACAGACAAATATCTGTCTAAGATCATTGTATTAGTCCAAATGCTTTTGGTGACCTACAGGTTTCCACAGATGACACTAATTAGCTTGCAAATACTAAAGAGAATAAACCTTTATTTGGTAAGCTAGAGAAAGTGTAAGGCTTGACTTGATACACCTAAGAGAATGGGGGATTCCATTTTATTTTTACCATGAAGAGATAAAGATACAACTTGATCTCTAGAAGCCACAGGTTACATCTACAACTCAGCCAGCATCAGGGAATAAGCCCTCAGGTGAGATGAGCTATATCACCTCAGGAATGTGCTGGTAAATGGTTAATGAATGACTATGAAAAAAAAATAAAAGGACGCTAGATACACTTTTAGGATAAGTCTCCATTGTTAACATTTTCCCCCATCATTTTCTTTAATCTACACAATCAACAAAACAATAAATAAATTTCCAGCTGATTTACAGCTTTGCCAGTTTCCGAAGTATAAATATTGGGGCAGCTAGGTGGTGAAGTGGATAGAGCACCCGCCCTGAAATCAGGAGGACCTGAGTTCAAATCCAGCTTCAGACCAAACACTTGACACTTACTAGCTGTGTGACCCTGGGCAAATCACTTAACCCCAATTACCTAAAAAAAAAAAAAGAACCAAAGTGTAAATATTCACAAAATTGGCTTTTTGAGAGCTGGTTTGAGCTGACTCCAGCATACCCCTGTTTATAGGCCACAACAGGTAGAGAAAGGAGGTCAAAAATTCTGTGAGAAGTACCCTTGACCTTATAGACAGGAAGCAGATGGGTACTGACTGGAACGCTAGAAGATTTTAGCATAAAATATTCCATATGTGAAAGTTCCAAAAATTAGTCAGGATAGGTCCTGGGGAGAGTGCTAAGCAGAAGGGAGGGAGCAAGTCTAGAAAAGAGATAATATGTCACAAGAAAAGGTAGGCCTGCCCCCTCCCCTAACCAGAGGAGACTTCTGTTCTATTACAATGATTTAGATAGTAAAAGGATAGAGTATGTGAACTGTGGCAAAGATGTATGTTATTTTAGCTTCTTACTCTTGCTTTAATCGCTACTACTCACTTCTGTGTGGTACCAGTCCCCCCAAAGAGCTAACCCAGATTACCATCAGCCCATAAGATATCTGAATACGTTTTCTAGCCTTGTGCTAAGTGTGGGGCAGTGGAAAGACCCTTGGACTGTCAGAAAACCACAGTTATAATCAGGAGTATGGCACTAACTAGCCATTTTTGGTCTTAGTTTCCTTATTTACAAAATGAGGTGGCTGGATGTCTAAGGTCCCTTTCAGCTCTAAAATCCTATGATTCTATGAAATAGTGAGTTTCAGGAGTATTTACCCATATGCAGCTAGGTGGCATAGTGGATAGAGAGCTGGGTTTAGAGTCAGAAAGACCTAAGTTCATATCCAACCTCTCAGACAGTTACTACTTCTTTGTGATACTGGACAAGACTGTCTGCCTCAGTTTTCTCAACTAAAATGGGAATAATATTAATAGTACCTACCTTCCAGAATTGTCATGAGGTTCAAATGAGATAATATTTATAGAGACTTAGCACAGTGCCTGATACATTGTAGACATTTAATAAATGTTATTGGGGCAGCTAGGTGGCGCAGTGGTTAGAGCTCCAGCCTTGGAGTCAAGAGGACCTGAGTTCAAATCCAGCTTCAGACACTTGACACTAGCTGTGTGACCCTAGGCAAATCACTTAACCCTGACTGCCTCATGAAAAAGCAAAAAAAAAAAGGTTGTTGTTTCCTTCCTTCTTTCCTTCTAAAGCCACATAAATAGCAGGTATTTGAAGTCTAAGTAAGTACATGGTATAGTAAGTATGGTATAGTGAGAAGAATGAGGGATTTAGAATCAGGGCACCTAGATTTGAATTCCAGATCTTCCTCTTACCATCTGTGTGACCTTGGGTAAATTATCATCTCTAGGCCTCCATTTCCTAACTTGAATAATGATGGATTCTATGGATTCACGATTTCTGACTCTGTACTTAATACCACAGTATTTACTTGGTCCTTCTTTATCAACTTATTCTCCTTTGTGTACAAAGATGAAATTGCTATTCATCTTTGTTGAATGAATGAATACTAATCTCTGATACAATAGCAATAGTGTCAATTTCTGTAAAGTACATAGATTATTTAGTCTGTCACATTAAAACCAAGAATTTTAACCTTAGATCAGTATTTGTTTTCAACACTTTTTAAAAAAAATTATCTTTCTCTACCAGCTTGTGCTTTCTGAGTCATCATCATGCATAATTCTAGGGACATTATCGCTTAATTGGTGTTTAATCATTTTTTCCTCCAGCCCTTCAATGTCAAGGGGAAATTTATAGGACAAAAACAAAAAACAAAACACACACACACACAAACACAAATCCAGTAATCTCAATTGTAGTTATACCAAGTTTTACTTGTGGAAGTACCTGTTAAGTCTTCTTTTGCAGGTAATTTAATGGCATTTCATTGTACTGGGTTCACATATAATGCCAGGAACTAGTGAGCTGTGGCTAATGAAGTTTAAATAATTACATTTAACAGCTGGGCTGAATGTATTATACATTTTGGAAATTAGTTTTACCCTTTACCAGGATTATATAATAGTGGATCCCAAGATACTGGGACATTGTAGTGGGTCAGTTCTTAGGCTTAGAAAATTTGACTAGGGGAGATACAATAAAAACTCATATATTACTGTAATCACTATTCTTTCAAACAAAAGACTTAGTTGACTTGTCAGTTGAGATGGTATGATGCTGATAATAATGAACTCTCGTACTAACAATTACAGAACGCTCCAAGGAGTTCACTTTTAATTTAAACACAAGCTAAATGTACCATTAAAAAGCTGAGTTACTGACATCATTGCTAACTCATCTGAGGTTCATTGGTTTTCAGCTTTGTTCCTCATAGTGAAGTGATAGTTACTGTACCCTATAATGGATCTTTGTAGGTTTTCTGGGGAAATTCCTTACAGGTTTCATAATTACTAGAAGAGTGATCATTTACCAATAATAATTTTCCCATCTCTGAAAACATTTTTGTTGGACAGTTTTGGAATATATTTAGGGGTGTGTTGGTAAATGTTTAACAAGGAGCTCCTCAATGCCCCCCCCCATATTTACACTGAAATCTCTATTATCAACAATGCCAACACCCACTGCCAACCAGTTACCACCATTGGGTCAGTCCACCAGCCTAACAGAAATGGTAAAACAATCTGATAGAGAGCCAGAAGACGACATGTACCAGGTAGGTCAAACCACCATGACCTCACTTAAGACCCTGGTAGAAATAGCCCAGGACCCCTGAGCTCAAGAGTCCCCAAAATGGCAATGCTCTTCATTGATCTTGATTCCTGCCTGGCCGTATAGCCATCACTGAAGGAAGCTCAGGTAAGGAGAGAAGAGAAGGGAGTAGAGGAGAGGAGAGGAAAGGATGAAGGACAAACACAACCAACACACCAACAACTAGATTATAAATTCACTGAGGGCATGCATTGTGTTGGTTCTCATCTTCTTAACACAGAGCCTAGTGTGGTGCCTTGCACATAGTAGGAGGTTAATATAAGTTTGCTGAATTCAATTCCTACTGTATGATGCTGTTTCTTTTAACCCACTATGACCTTGGGAAAGGTACAGGAATGTGTAAGTGATCAGGAAGTAGAATATTTGAAAAGTGTGGGAGAAAGGGCACTTCCTTAAGTGGTCCTTATGTATATAATGTCATGACAGAAAAGAGTATCTCTTGGACTTTTTGGTCCTCTTACAATGGTACGTATTATCTAGCGATAAACATTCATATGTGGCATCTATTGCAAATAGTCAATTCCTATCAATTGCACTCTAATTTAATAAGTTGTATCTATGGGCAAATTTCTTTATTCAACTATATGAATTATTTAACTTGTGGATATACTCTTCATAAATGGTTGATAGTATAACATAAAATATTATATGTTAATCTATGAAAAATGAAAAAAAAGTGCTTATTTATCTGTTCTCCAGGCTAATTATTGTTCATCTTCTCAAATTCCTTTTGTGTCAGCCAGCTCTCAGTGAAAACACTTAAATAAACTATCCTTCAGATTTAGAAATGTCAGCATAGTTGTTTAATTTTGGATAGTCATTGATGAATGTTCATGGCAACATGTGCAGATATATAGTAACTTGCTGTATCAATGGTTCTTGAATTTTAAAAATCTATTAACTCCCTAAGGGCTCCTCTAACTGTCTCAACATATACTCTTCTCTGTCCCCTAAAAAAGCCAAAGTGATTCATTTCTGCATCACTTTGGAAAACAGGAAGGCAGGGCTAGAGGGAAACCCTTAAGGCAAGTAGCATTAGACTGCTATGAGAGGAAGGAAAGCTGAATAAAAGGACACAAAGTGACTGGGGCAACAATATCTATATTTCAGAAAGCACTGCTAGGACACACCTTTTTCTCCCCTCAGTGGGCTATGAATATTAATCTCTAATATTTCCTTTCAGCAATCTCAAGAATCCCAGGTGGTTGTGGCTACCAGCCTGAGAAGCACTGTGTGATCTGAATGGACTATTTTAGAGAGAATTTCTGCTACAGACAATCAAGCAATCAACATACATTTATTAAGTGTCTATTATGCTCCAGGCACTCTGTTAGGCATTGGCAAAAAATAAAATAATTCCTACTATCAAGAAGGAAAAGATTCTGCATAAGTAGAAAAAATTCACTTTTGCTATTTCATTATGATGAAAAGATACTCAAACTTAAATTTGGGTGATTTCATACTATCAGCCTTAATAGTTCACATTAAAAAAAAATCTGTGTTTCTATATTGATACAAAAACAATTAAAATATGTTAAGAATGACTGGTACATGTAGTGAGCCAAGTAACCCTAGCTTAGAGCTGTCTAAAAATAGGTATTCTCTATTTCTGAGGTGATTATTTACAAAGACAGGGAATATTTGCCATAGGAATATTTGTTCTATTTGCAATGTTGATTAAATTACTGCATTCTATTCTTATAATTTTTTTTCAGTTGCTTATACATAGAGAAAAAAGTTGTGCCTTTTTTAGGATTAAATCTATTAGTGAGAATTAGTATCGCTATAGAAGGGCACAATATGGAAGCATATATTTGAAGTATTCCTCAAGAATCGCTCAGTTATATGAGACCAAAATATTTCAGTCTCTGTCAACATAAATCCTTTTAAAGTATGTGAGACAACAGAGTTTCACTATGGTATATGTCATGCCTCTTATGTAATTCAATGTCTGAAGTGTTGGATATCTCAAAATGTGAGGGTTTTGTTGCTGGCCACATACAAAATCAATGCAGGAATTTGGAACAAAGAATTATGGTGGAGGTTGATGCCAAGCAGCAACTTAATCTGGCTTTGTTATTATTGTTCTTGCTTTCCCCCTTTCTATTCATTTATATGATAGAACCAGAGAATTTGGAGCAAGAAGAAAACAGTTGTTTCATATTCACATCAATTTTGCAGAGTTTCTTTGGCAAAGTCTTTCTGTTCCTTCTCAGTGGGTTACATGGTTCAGGTTCCCCATGTGGAGTTAAATGGGAGTAATGTATAGCCAGGAATTTTTACCTCAAGTCAGATGGAGACTATAGACAGACATTTTACTTGGTGAGCAGTAAGGTGAATTTCAAAGATAAGTTAAAAATTTTCAGGCTCTACTTAGATTGCTTGCTATTCTATGTCCAAAAGAACTTATTCTCTGGAGATGAAGATTCTCCTTTTGGAAAGAAAAATCTCTCACAGCTACAACTCTGGGAACTGAAAAGTCTCTTCCTTGTGGAGAAAAATAAGAGCTTTTCCCTAGCCTGATACTGGGCATGTGAAAGTCTTCCTTCCTCATTAAAAGATCTAAAGCCTAAACCTCTGGACTCAAAACTAAAAGAGAAGGGGGAGAGCTTAACTTTCCTTTAAGAGGGAACATCTCAGGCAAGAATGCTGGAAGCAAAATGTAGTTCTACAACCATGTGCCCAATGAAACCAAACCTAGAGTTGACCTGAGACCAGAAATTCAATACCTAAAAGTCCTAATAAAGACTAGATCCCAAGTGAGGCCAGGAGGCAGCCAGGCTAGCAAAAGTCATGTTATCACATTATCAGGAGATGCTGCGAGTCTATAGAGATAGATATGTCTCACAGGGCCCATGAGTGGAGAATACACATATAAGAAACATCTATTTCCAGAGAACATACATTAGAAGAGCAACTCATGCTTGTGATGCCACAGGATTTATGAGGGAAATGTTTTCTTGCTACTTTTTTTTTTACCATGTTATTTTACAAATTTCTTCGCTTTAAATTGCTTTCATCCTATGACTGACTAGAGAAAGTCAGCTCTTAAGTGGTCACTTACAATCAATGGTTTTGAATGATTATGGATTCATAGATACTTTAAAATATGCGTAATGTAGTACTGAAACAGTAAAATCTACACTGTGGAAAATAAAGATTACTGTGTAGGATGAATGATAATATCAAGCAGAACTGGCCTTGTAGAGATTCATGTAGTGGGGTGTGATTGGCAGGGTACTTCAAGGCCATGGCTGTCCAAAAATATCTTTTTTTCTGCATTCTGGCTAGCCTCCTGTCCCATTTATCTATTCCGAAATTTCACTGTGCTGATTCTCTGTAGTTAGACATCAAGTCTGAGGAATGATAGAGAGGTCCTGAAGAAGACTCCTAATTTTGCCTCTAACTGCCTGTGTGGCTTTGAGAAAGTCACCTAACTCTTTTTGGGTTAAATTTCCTCATCAGTAAAATTATGGGAATGGCCTAGATAACTTCCTTTCTAGATAACTTTCCTTTTAACTCTGAAATTCCAAAATTCTGTGATTTCCTCTAATCTCTCACATTAGCATGCTACCACAGGTTATTTTGCATGAAGGTCTAGAGAACCTAATTCCCAGGTTCTAGAAAAAAAGTAAATTTCTTTTTTTAAAAAGTTTTTAAAAATTTATTTTGATTTATCAACAATCACTTCCATAAGCTTTTGAGTTTTAAATTTTTTTCCTCCTCTTTCCCTCCCCAAGACTGTGTGCAATCTGATGTAGGTTATAAATATACATTCCTATTAAACATGTTTTCGCATTAGTGATGTTGTAAGGAAGAATTAGAACCAAGAGGAAGACCCACCAGAAAGAGGAAACAAAACAAAACAGAAGGAAAAAGTAGCAAATGATATGTCGATCTGCATTCAAACTCCATAGTTCTTTCTTTGGATGTGGATAGCATTTTCAATCATGAGACCTTTGGAGATGTCTTAGATCCTTGCATTGCTGAGAAGGGCTAAGTCTATCAACGTTAGCCATCACACAATGTGGCTGTTATTGTGTACAACATTCTCCTGACTCTGCTCACTTAACTCAACATCAGTCCATACAAGTCTTTCCAGGTTTTTTTCTGAAGTCCACCTGCTCATCATTTCTTATAGCAAAATAGTATTCCATTACATTCATATACCACAACCTGTTCAGCCATTCCCAATTGATGGCATCTCTCAATTTCCAATTCTTTGCCACCACAGAAAGAGCTGCTATAAATATTTTTGTACATGTGAGTTCTTTTCCCATTTTTATGATCTCTTTGGGATCCAGCCCTAGAAGTGCTATTGCTGGGTCAAAGGGTATGCACATTTTTATAGCCCTTTGGGCATAGTTCCAAATTGCTCTCCAGAGTGGTTGGATCATTTCACAACTACACCAACAATGCATTAGTATTCCAATTTTCCCACATCTTTTCCAACATTTATCATTTTCCTGTTTTGTCATATTAGCCAATCTGATAGGGGTGATGTGGTACCTCAGAGTTGTTTTGATTTGCATTTCTCTAATCAACAGTGATTTAAAGCATTTTTTCATATGACTATAGAATTCAATTTCTTCATCTGAGAACTGCCTGTTCATAACCTTTGACCATTTATCAATTGGGGAATGACTTATATTCTTATCAATTTGACTTAGTTCTCTATATATTTTAGAAATGAGGCTCTTATCAGAGATATTGGTTATAAAAATTATTTCCCAATTTTCTACTTTATTCCTAATCTTGGTTGCATTGGCTTTGTTTGTACAAAAACTTTTCAATTTAATGTAATCAAAATTATCCATTTAGCATTTTGTAATATTCTCTATCTCCTGTTTGGTCATGAATTCTTCTGTTCTCCATAAATCTGACAAGTAAACTATTCCTTGCTCTCTCAGTTTGCTTATAGTATCAGCTTTTATATCTAAATCATGAACCCATTTTGACTTTATTTTGGTATATGGTGTAAGATTTTTTCCTATGCCTAGTTTCTGCCATACTGTTTTCTAGTTTTCCCAGCAGTTTTTGTCAAATAGTGAGTTCTTATCCCAGAAGCTGGGGTCTTTGGGTTTATCAAATAGTAGATTATTGTAGTCATTGACTAGTGTGTCTTGCTTACCTAACCTATTCCGTTGATCCACCACTCCATTTCTTAGCCACTACCAAGCAGTTTTGATGATTGCTGCTTTATAATACAATTTAAGATCTGGAATGGTTAGGTCACCTTCCCCTGCATTTCTTTTCATTAATTCCCTTGATATTTTGGACCTTTTGTTCTTTCAAATGAATCTTGTTATTATTTTTTCTAGCTCTATAAAATAATTTTTTGGTAGTTTGATTGGTATGGCACTGAATAAGTAAATTAGTTTAGGTAGAATTGTCATTTTTATTATATTAGCTTGGCCTACCTATGAGCAACTGATATTTTTCCAGTTATTTAGATCTGACTTTATTTGTGTGAAGAGCGTTTTGTAATTGTGTTCATATAGTTCCTGGGTTTATTTCGGTGGGTAAACTCTTAAATATTTTATAATGTGTACAGTAAGTTTAAATGAAATTTATCTTTGTATCTTTTGCTGTTGGGCTTTGTGGTAATATATAGAAATGCTGATGATTTATGTGTGTTAAAAAAATTAAATTTCAATAGAGAGAATGCATTCCAGTCATGAGGGTTGCCAATGTAAAGTCATGGAGATGAGAGAGGGAGCACCATGTATGGGGAACAGAGGTTGCTAGATCACAGAATACAGGAAGGGGAATAATGTATAATGAATAATATCAGAAGCAAATGATGGTAATCAAAAGGATAGTTTAGATGTTGACTGAAGAGGAGAAACCCAAGTGAAGAATGTAATTGGGTTTCTGTGCCCATGACAGCAGGGGATCTGTGTAAAAGTAGTACTAGGATGGAAAAAATGCTAGAAATAGAGGCAAGAAAATTGAAATGAAGTTTTGACCTTGACTTTTTTCCATCTAGTGGAACTTGGCAAAGTCTCATAATCTCTCTAGCCCTTCCTCAGTTTCTTTGCCCATAAATTGTAGATCAATCAAACAACATCTATTAAACTTCTATTGTATGCCAGGTACTGCACTAGGTAATCGTGATATAGACACACACACACTCACATAAAACGAAACAATCTATACGCTTAAAGAGCTTATATTCTATTGCAGGAGACAAGATATACCTCTGTAGATATATCAAAAATAAATGTAAAACAAATATAATAGTTATTTATATAACACTTTAAGTTTTACGAAGTACTTTATAAAC